TTCCTCCCTGATTCAACACTGACCGTGTTTTCAGATGCAGAATCTCGTTGATGAATTCTACGTCCTGGGAATACATTGCAAAATTATGAGTCTTCGTAAAAAACCCTGGTAACTGGTAGGATGGGAGAGAGAAGAAGAGCAAACCAAAGTGAGGAATTTATAACTCATAGATTCTCAGAAGTCCATTGACAACATTTTGCTTTCAGAGTTTTCTGCCTATGTTCTGTCCAGTATAGACAAAACTAATTCTTGTTAAATTCTAAGGCAAGGGTCTTCAAACTTGGCAAGTTTAAGACTTGTGGATTTCAACTCCCAGAATTCCTGAGCTAACATGACTGGAGGAGGAATTCTGGGAGTTGAAGTCCACAAGTCTTAAAGCTGCCAAGTTTGAAGACCCCTGATCTAATGCCTCAACTTTCCACAAATAGGAATGCAGATTTCACAATCTTACTTCTTATTCATGAATGCGTGTTGTATCAATAATTAGTTAATAAAACATGTTGGGATCCTATATGCTTTCATGAAGTGCATGCATCAGCCTCTTGGGACTGCACAAATAATTTTCCACTATTGTAGGATTGGGTGGAATATAAATGTGCATAAATCAAGACCTTTTGGGGATATTTTTGGAAACCAAATCAAAATTTCAACCTCCTTGCAGAAAAGAGTGATAATAAACTCCCCTTAAGATAAATTCTGTTTCTGCAAGCTTTCAAGTTTAGTGCAATATATTTCTAGACCTCCTATTCCACATATAAAATAATTTAGGTGTTTAAGATACACAAAATTGCTTTGCAACACATTGAACCATTAGTCTATGAAGTCAAATATTTTTTACATTAATAAACCACATAATCATCTGCTATGTAATCCTTTTACCTGCCGATTTAGCATGCTTTGAACTACAAAGCCTACTCAAATAATTGTCTTAAGTAAGTTCTTATACAATATTAGAATGAACAGCTTCATTATAACTTCAATGACTCGGAGGTTTATTGCAAATCACAAATATTAAACAACCATATTGAGCCTTGTATAGGATATGACTAAAGCAAAAATCATTACTCTTTCTCTGGTGATTAGAAAATGCAGGTGTGCTAAGGCAAATAATTAAAAAACCACATTAGTGCTATTCTACAAATTGCAACAAAGGGATAAAAACACACCAGAACACAAACATTCTGTTCTTTCTTTAAAAGTTATTCAAATTGATGAATGAGGATTCCTAATAAAGTTTATTTTACCAGTCCAAAGCAAAACATTAAGATAGATAGTTGCTTATGAAGCGATCCAAAAAGATTTTGGGATCTTGGAATCTCTTATAACTAACTGACATTTTGTAGCATAGTCATTGACCAAGCCAGTAATCTATTTAAATATACCTCATAGAAAGAAAGGGTATTTTTTTATTATTTTAAAACAACAAGACTAAAGAGAAAGAATTTGTCATTAAGTTATACTTACATACTTACAAGCAATTTACCAGTTACTCTAAAAATCATATTTTATGATAAGGTACTTAAAATATGTATTTTTCCATTTTTGGCTGCTGGCACAACTTATAGAAGACAGTAATTCATGAGTAGATGAGGTTAGAAAAGATCACCTCTTTCTTAGGAATTGCTTGAACCTCAGTACAAACAACGGACCCCAAACCATAACTCTCTCATTTGCCCAAGGTATACTTGACAAAACTGTCTCTCCCATAACTATCCAATGCCAAGTTCATAATAAAATAGTCTCCCTGCCATTCTACAAAGGAAAAAAAAAATCTATTTCCCTAAACAGCAAAATTGCAACACTAGTACCTCTTCCCGTAATTTCTGGTGCATGACTTCGAGATGCTCCTCCATGTCGCGGTTACTGCTAGTAGGCGAAGTGACCGGGGAGGGAGCCCCAGATGTGGCTTGGAAAGGCGTAAGGGATGCGGGTGCTGCCTCCGAAGTCTGAAAAGGTGATTGCAAATGCCAGCCATGAAAGAGACTATACAAGGAGTCTAAAGAAGCACTGTCCAGTCCTTCACTAGGCTGTACCCTTAGGCTATCCTCCTGCCTCCCCTTCTCCAAAATGATGGCATCTTCCATGCTTTCAGGGACGGAGGGAACAGCTGGTTGGAAAAGGGGCCTGGTCTCCAGGCTGCTGAATTTCAGTCCATAATTTATTACAGTACAGTGAGAAGGGTGAGACAGAGCTGGAAGGTGAGGGGCAGCCTCTGACAGCTTCTTGGAGAATAGAGAGTGGAAAGTCAGTCTTATTGACGTGGAAGAGACAAGCTCAGGAGGTAATTTATCCCAGGAGGCAGCCACATCCTTAAAAAAAAAAGAGAGCGATATTTCATAATAATGAAACTAATTATCAAAAACATTGTATATTGTCCTTGGCATTCCTGAAAGGCAGTCATTCAGCTTATTTTCCTGGGCTGTCTGATCTCACCTGACCAGCCTGCACAGTGACAAGCTTTCTTCGTGGAAAAGGAAGTTTGTTTTTATCTGGGTAATGCATACAGAGCACAGAACTCATTATTTTATAGAATAATTTTGGTAATTAAGAAAAAAAACTTTGATATTTAAATACATGTCCTATTTGGTTGGTTGGCTTTTTTTTAATTATTAAGGACCAACCACAAGATATGCTATGTGCCGTAATTTATTCTATTTTGAGAGAAGAAATCATCTCAGAACTGTGGTGTGTCATAACAAGAACATTTCTGCATGGTACAGGATAAAATAAATTAAAGAAATAAGAATTTAAAATTGGCTCATGAAAATGAAAGTCAAATCTAACACAAGGCAAGACCCCAGCAACCATTTTGTAGGCAAAAAATAACTTTAGTGAGGGCAAAGCAAGTACAGACTAAGGTTCCTAACTCATAGGCTGATTTGACCAGAAACAGGAATGGAATACATTCCAGAGCAAGACCTTGCACTGTTAATTGTTGTTTTCTTTGACTATCTCTGATCTTTCAATGGCCTGTAAGCAGCCGTGCTGCAAGACAAAAACGAATTTCATTCAATACGGCTAATCCTGTATTGTGCCAGGATTTAATCACTACCCCTCGGGTCACATCCACCACTGAGGAGCAACTTTTGGGAAGACTGCCAGGCACACCTCTTAAGATTTTTCCAAGCGGTAGATGAAACCGCTTTTACCCGCAGGTTACACATCCTTGCAGCGACAGCAGAGCTTCGACGGATCAGCCGGGCGAGCTGTCACCGGGGAAGGATGCGTGAAGTCCCGGGCAACCTTTTAGCCAACCGGCACATTTCAACCGCGTTATAATCCTCCCAAGCTCAACCGGGGCAATTCTAACCCGATCAAAACCAAGGTTTTGTCCATCCAGCCCAGCACCGCAGATTCCCCCGCAAGGGAGGTCTGCAAAAGTGACCGATTGGTTCGCGATCTCAGCCAGGTTTTTTTTTTTTTTGCAAAGGATCCAATTGCTTCTGTCTTCTCCGCAGTCCGCCGGTATCCCGTCCCCCACCCCTTCACGCTTCCCAGCAAGCTTGCTCCTTGCAGATCTGCCCTTCTTTCCCGCGAGGATCGGGGATGGCCGACCACGCCCGCGTCCCCCGCCGCCTTTCACTCACCCGCGGCCGCAACCGCGCCGGGTGGCAACAGCGCGCCGAGTCGCCCGGGCATAGGCGGAACGGGCTGCTGCTGCTGCTGCCGTCCCACCTCCAGGAGCAGCGGGCGCCCACGCGCAGGGCCGCCTTCGGGCTCCGCTGGTACATGGCACGCGAGCGCGAGGCAGGCGCCTTCCACGCGCCAGCAACCCACCTTCCTCCCCCCACCCGCCAGCCCGCGAGCCCCTCCAGCAGCGAACTCCGGCGCCGCCGCCGCTTCAGCCGGCTTAAAAAAGGCCACGACGCCTGCGCTATCTATTGCGCAGGCGCACGTCTCTAGTCTCCTTGACCGAAGGAGGAAATGGTACGCCAGCTGCAGACCCGGCGTGAACTTGGCGAGCCCGTCCCTAACTACGCCTGCGCACCGAGAAGGTCGGCGAGGGCTCCTGTCAGACGTCCCGCTGCTTTTCCCAGCGAGACTTCCGGTTCTTGGCTGTAACTGTGGGGAGTCCTCCGGGCGGGGACAGCGGGAACTGTGGAGTTACACGTGCAGCTTGCAAGGAGTAGAATCAGAATAGAGCTGGAAGGAGCCTTGAAGGTCTTCTAGTCCAGCCCCCTGCTCAATCAGGAGACCCTGCCTATACTATTTCAGACAAATGGCTGTGCAGTCTCTTCTTAAAAACCTCCAGTGATGAAGCACCCACAACGTCTGAAGGCAACGTCTGAAATGTCAAAAGGCGTCCACCAGTCCCCCACACCAACCATATTCTAATGAATTCCCTCAAATTTCCTCCTTGTTTTCAGCAAGTGAACATTTGAAATCATGTCCCCCCCACCCCCCGGATTAGTTGTGTACTGTCAAAACCTTGAGGTTGCTTAAATGATCTTGGAATCTGTGATGCCCTTTGTGGATGGTATTCAGGAGGATCCGGAGAACCAAATTTGTTTCCCAAGACATTGTACAATACAGGTAGTCCTCGACTTATGGCCACAATTGAGCCCCAAATTTCTTTTGTTAAGTGAAACATTTAAGTGAGTTTCGCCCAGTGGGCATGGCTTGGTGGGGGTGGCAGGGGAAGAATACTGTAAAATCTCCAGTCAGAGGTGAGATTTGCTGGTTCTCCAAAGTACTCAAAATTTCCACTACCGGTTCTCCAGAACTGGTCAGAACCTGCTGAATGCCACCTCTGGTTTTGCCTCATTTTATGACCTTTCTTGCCACAGTTAAGTGAATCACTGCAGCTGATAACTGGGTTGTTAAGTGAATCTGGCTTCCCCATTGACTGCTTGTCAGAAGGTTGCAAAAGGGCCCACACAGATAAACCCCCAAGTGCTTCAACGACCCTCTGAAAGGATGCAAATGACCAGCTGTCTGCAAGGAATATAAATCCTTCCATTCCCCACCATCCAGTCAGAGCTGAAGAAGCTGCTTGGATGAGAAGTGAAACGTCTTCAAAAGAAAAAGCAAGGAAGGAAGTTCAGTTTCTTCCTGAAAAAACACCTTTGGAACAACGATGACCTGGATGACTGAGAATCTCTACAGACTTCTCCCCTGGTTGTTTTAATTCTATTTATATTGTGTAAGTGGGGGCTATTCTGATTTAAGGTAAGTGTAAATGCAATAAAGATTTTGGATGTAGATAGAGAAATTAGAGTGATTGTCTCAAAGGCAGGCAAGATACAACTTCCTTTTTCCTTATAGTGCTTTGAAATAGCCATAACTCCTCCCCTCCCCGCTTCAAGGTTCTTAAACTCAGTCTGGTAAGAAACAAAAGTCTGCAGTCAGATTCCTATTTGTATGGAAAACTTGAAAGTTGTGCAACCTTCTGGAAATTTGGAAAATACATTGCAAACATGGATGGGGAAGGAAGGGTTTGCTCATTCACAAAAGAGTATAGGTAGTCCTTGACTTACAACAGTTCATTTAGTGACCAAAGTTGCAATGGCATTGAAAAAAGTGACTTATGACCATTTTTGTACACTTAGACCATTGTAGCATCCCCAGGATCGTGTGATTTACATTCGGAGCCTTGACAAGTGACTGACATTTATGACAGTTGCAGAGTCCCAGAGTCATATGATCCCCTTTAGCAACCCCTTTAGCAAGCAAAGTCAATGGGGAAACCAGATTCACTTAATAACTGTGTTACTAATTTAAGAACTGCAGTGATTCGTATAACAAATGTGGCGACAAAAATGGGGCATAGCTCACTTAATAAATTTCTCAGTAAACAAAAATGTTGGGCTTAATTGTAAGTTGAGGCTACCCGTATTATAGGTAGCCATCAATTTACAACCATTCAGTGACTGTTCAAGGAGCCCAGTGGTTTATGCAGTTAGGATGCTGGGTTGATAGTTATCGATCCTACATTTGAGTGTCGAGTGCTGTTGCATGGCCAGGTGAGCTCCCGTCATCTGCTCCAGCTCCTGCCAAACTGCTGTTTGAAAGTGAGCAATCGCAAGTACACAAATAGGTACCACTTCGATGGGCACATTAATGGGGCCACGAAAGGCCCCCTCAACTGGGTGTCCCCAGGCAACGATGGTGTCACTGGCTAATCCTTTGAACCCAGAGAAGCTTTAGGTGCTTGCAGTATGAACAGAACAGGATGGGAGTGACTGTTAAAGTTACAATGGTGTTGAAAAATGGTTATAACTGGTTCTTGCACTTACAACCATCGCAATGTCCCTACAGTCACATGATCAAATTGGGGTGCCTGGAAATTGGCATGCATTCTTTATGATTGCAGTGTCGCATAATCGTTTGATCACATTTGCAACTTGCCCAGCCGGCTTCTGACAGATAATCAATGGAAATCAGATTTGCTTAACAACTGTGATTCACTTAATGATCACAGCTAAAAGATTGTAAAATTGGGCACAATTCAAGGAACTGCTTCACTTAGCAATGGAAGTTCTGGTCCCAGTTGTGATCACAAGTTGAGGATCACCTGTATAAGTATCAGAATGTTTCCTGTCATCTACTCTTCACAAGTATATTTTTGCTACAACCCGCTAAATTTTGCCCCCTCTCTGAAAGCTGGATAGGTTTCAAAACAATTCATTAAGTGCCGTTCTTGCGGTTTTATTGTCTGAACAACTTTAGAGTCCATCAGGGGCTTAGAAAATTTTGGAAAGAAGACTCAAAGACTATATTTGGAATTTTGAGACTGTGTCCTCTGACACAACCCAACGCTCCTGTCTGAAGTCATCCACCATTTTACACAAAAATCCTTGCTGATAAATTTGCCTCTTCTTTAAAAGAAAGAACAATTTTTCCTTTAAAAACCCATTTTTCGATGATGACAGGACATGAGAGAGTCATTCTGGAAATTAAGCAGTGAGTCCTTGACTTGGAACTGCAAAGAGTTAGCAGCAACTGTGATCTTTGTGGTAGACCTCTCTCCATAGTTAATTATAATATCCTTTCTGTCGCACGAAAAAGAACATTCCCACTATTTAGACTAAGTGCCTTGCCACTGATGGTTAATATATTGCCCTGTGATTTCCTGGGCTGCTGTCCAGATGGCATACACAAGAGAGTTTTGCAAATACTATTGCATTGTTATTTTTATCAGTTGGTTGCAACCTATTAATTTTCCATCGTGACCGATCTGGTGAGAACATTCTATTTTTATTACCAGAAAAAAAACCTACTTATTAATTCATTTAGCACATTTCTATGACTTACCACTTGTCAAATTATTCTGAGCAGTTTAAAAGCAGTAAAACAAACAACAAGGTGACTAAATTGGGATAATTGTACTCCCACTAAAGAAATATCGAGGCAGGTCACCATACTTTGTTTATGATTATCTTGAGAAGGATTTGGATTTACCACTGGCAATCTCTTGATTGATTTACTTCTGCTCAGTCAGTCTGCAAATTCTGTTAATTCTCTGGTCTTTTGCCCTTTGTTTTTATTTGGCTGAATTGTAGTGTTTTCAATATTTTGGTCTTCAAAATAAGTTTAACTGCATACAAAAGTGTGCAGACACTGATAACCCCAACTAACACATCTCTAATATTTCTACAGGTATTCCTAATACATTCACCCATTAATACATTAAACATCTAAGAGGGCATTACACTTCCTAATTTTAGTCCTGTTTTTACAGAGGCACAATTGAGAGCGTTTTAATAAACTGCATCCCTGTTTGGTTTGGTGGCTGCAGTGCCTCAGATAGAAAGTCCCTACAGAGAATGGTTAGGACAGCCGAGAAGGTTATAAGAAGCTCGCTTCCTGTTATTTAGGGTACTGCTTATAAGTGCTATGTCAGTGGTGGCAAACCTTTTCAGCACCGAGTGCCGAAATGGGAGCGTGCATGGGTGCGTAGGCGCACCAGAAACTGGAAGCTGATCTTCCTGGTGCACACATGCGCATCGGCCACCTGGTCTTCCGGTTTCTAACGTGCATGTGCGCACAAAGATCAGCTGGCCATTGCACGCATGTGTGCCGGGAAGTTGTTTTTCCGGTTTCTGGTGCTCCAGCACATGCGAAGACCAGCTGACCGTCACACATGCATGCGCTGAAACCCGGAAGGGCAATGGGCGACGGCTAGCGTGCCCGTAGAGATGGCTCCGCATGCCACTTCCAGCATGCATGCCATAGGTTCGCCATCATGGCACTATGTGCTTAGAACTCAAAGCATTGTTAGAAACCTCACATACCCACTTTACAGTATGTTTCTGTTGCTCCCCTCTGGGAGGAGGTTTCAAAGTATTTCTAGCAGGACTACCAGATTCTGTAACAACTTTGTTCTTTATGCCATCCGTCTGGTAACCATGCAAGATTCGCTTTTGTGCCATGTACATGTATACATCCAAGCTAGACTGTGTTGTTTCTCCGTGTCATATCATATATGTGGGTATATGCATAATTTTGTATTCATTTATTTATTTATTTAGTCATGTTTATGTAGTGTATATTGGAGGTAGTGACCCTTTGAGAACTGTATAACAACGAAATTTCATTTCAAAGTATGCCAATTAGTGTACATTTGAAGTGACAAAGTTATTCTAAGCTCTTTAACTTTGAATCATTTGCTAAGCATTCCATTTACTCTCTACTCATGTTTTATGTCCATTCTATACTCCTTTATCACATACAGCAATCAACTTTCAACTCCATATTCATGGAGAACAATCCATAATTCATGTCTGTTCTCTTAATGCGCTTCTCTACATCAGCAAACATATAATAAACTTTCACATTTCACACATGCCTCAATTAACAAATACACTTCCTCCCATAAGCATATTTTGTCCTATTCACTACTATTAAATGTCTCGTTAGTTAAAGCAAGGGGTCACCAATCTTTTGAACCTCAGCAACCACCAAACTCATAATTTTATATCCCGCAGACCACAGACCCTGGGAAAATCGCGCCAAAAGCCTGCAGGAAAATTCCCCACCCCGTTTTCCTACCGATTGATCATTCTTTATTTGGGATCACAGGATACCATCTCCAGCTCCGTTCTCGGGAGAGAGAGAGACTTTTGGCTTCATGCAAGGAAAGCAGCAGAAGTCTTTCTTTTTCTCCCCCAAACTCCACCAGAAATGAATCTTTGCCAGTGCAGCCTCTTGGAGCAGGAGGCCTTGCAGGGTCCCAAAGACTCATTTCTAACGGAGTTTGGGGGAGAAAAAAGATTTTTGCTGCTTTCCTTGTGTGCAGCCAAAAGCAGAAGCAGAAAGAAGCAGCCTGGTGGCCAGACGAGGCACGTGGGGCGAGAAAGGCAAGTTCCCCCCTCCTTTCTTTCCCCCTCCCCTCACTATCGTGTTGTTCACAATGCAAGCCTTGTGTTCCTGCACAGCCTGGATTAATTGCTTTGGGGGTGGCATTTCTTTGTGGACCACCAAAATTTTCTCACAGACCACCAGTGGTCCCTGGCCCACTGGTTGGCGACTACTGAGTTAAAGGAACCTGACAAGGATCAACAAAGAATGAGAAATGCCAGTTTTATTTCAATCAACTTTGTCCAGCTACAACATGTAAATTGATGTACATCAATTAAGAATTAAAATAAACCAAACTAGAATGAGATCTGAATTTAGACCCCAAAGTGCTAAATCCATTTTGATTAAATTGGATATTTTTATTGCACATATCCCTTCCAACATTTTCTTATTAGTCAAGACAAAAGCACAAGACTCTACCCTCTCCTCCCGTAACATTTAAAAACTTCAACATGGCACAGTATCTCCAAGTGAGATAACTTAATTCAATTCTACCACATTTTAAACAATGTTTTAAATCTGCATTCAAGTTTCCATGTGGCTCAAATCCCCAAGTTTATAGCATATGATGGAATCTGTTTTGCTTTCATTCTCATTTGGAGACCTATATTTGGCTCACAAATTTTGAAAGAAAGGAGGGGAAAGGAATTTGAAATACAGTTTCAGATACAGTAACAGCTAACTAAACAAACTTCCATTTGAAAAGAAGAAATTAGAAGAATTTCAAAGTGGAAAAAAACTAGCATAAAGCAAACAAGACCATACCCTTAAAATACAGGCAGGTGCGAAGAGGTCTCTGAATTACAACTTCTGTACCCTTCATCATTGACCATGTTAACTGGAGCTGCTGTCAGTTGTACTTTAACATCGTCTAGAGCAGTTCCCAATCTTGGCAACTTTTTAGATGCATGGATTTCAACTCCCAGAATTGCCCAGCCAACATAACTGACTAGGAAATTATGGGAGTTAAAAGTTTACATATTTTAATTTGCCAAGTTTGGGAACTGCTGTTCTAGAGGGCCAGATTCATCACCCCAATGTATGGAGTGAGTAGCAAACAATATTAAATGGCTTGTACTAATCTAAGGAAGCAAACCTAAGAAAAGTTATGCTGCTACTTTAGTCAGATCTAATAATGAGAGAGAATATGAATACTTCAATAATTAATACTTTAAATATGCTGTTGGCAATGTTGTCCTACTTCCTATAGACAACATTATCTGTTAATTCAACAGCCCTGATTTTGACTCATTTCCTTTACCAAGGTCTAGTATTGCAATACAGATACTTGTGGTGGGTCCACTTGGCTTCATAAGGACTTCCTGCTACTATCCACAGTGGCTTCCTCTGACATGAGTTTGGAGCCAGATTGTACAGCCCCTTATTCTGCTTCAGAGGAATCCAGGGAACATGATGCTGACTTTTGCAAATGGCATTCTTGTAGGGGACTGTTAAAGCACTGGAGTTCTTTGTCTTTTCCCAAAAGGCTGATTCGTCAAGATCTTGAGCATCCATCATGGGAGGTGAAGATTCTTCAGGAACTGGGGCTGTCTCTTCCATCTGCCTAATGATCATTGGTTCTAGATCATGGGGATGGCTCAGAGCAGTGCCTTTAAGTCTAAGGGAGAGAAAGAGCAGTTATCTAGATAGATGAGGAAAGATTTAAAAAAAACAGGTAGGTAATTTTACAGATGTATAATTGTGGATGTACTGTATAAAACTGGCCCACCAGAGCAGGAAGGTAGGACATGTTGCGTACCCCAACTATTAGGGGTACATCTGTACATATACATTACAAGTATATCTGGTGGGCACAAGAAAAAGGGTCCTCCCTCTCTCTGGTGGCTCCCTTCCTGTGGAACATCATACCCCTGGAGATAGGACAGCTGGCTCCCACCCTGATATTTTTCTGAAAGCCTGAAGACCTGGTTCTGTCAGCAGGCTTGAAGACCCCAAGTTGATATGAAACCAATCAAGTGGCTGGTTTGATCGTACTGTCATCAGTGTATGGGGGTGTTGGATTGTGGATTAGCAATGTTGCAAGTTGCTGAGAGTTACCACATGTGAACTGAGTTGGTATATAAATTTGTTAAATTAAGTAGGTTTACAGGTGAAACTCGAAAAATTAGAATATCGTGCAAAAGTACATTTATTTCAGTAATGCAACTTAAAAGGTGAACCTAATATATGAAATAGACTCATTACAGGCAAAGCAAGATAGTTCAAGCCGTGATGTGTCATAATTGAGATGATTATGGCTTACAGCTCATGAAAACCCCTAATCCACAATCTCAGAAAATTAGAATATTGTGAAAAGGTTCAATATTCTAGGCTCCAAGTGTCCCACTCTAATCAGCTAATTAAGCCATATCACCTGCAAAGGGTTCCTAAGCCTTTAAATGGTCTCTCAGTCTGGTTCAGTAGGAATCACAATCATGGGAAAGACTGCTGACCTGACAGTTGTGCAGAAAACCATCATTGACACTCTCCATAAGGAGGGAAAGCCTCAAAAGGTAATTGCAAAAGAAGTTGGATGTTCCCAAAGTGCTGTATCAAAGCACATTAATATAAAGTTATGTGGAAGGGGAAAGTGTGGAAGAAAAAGGTGCACAAGCAGCAGGGATGATCACAGCCTGGAGAGGATTGTCAGAAAAAGGCAATTCAAAAGTGTTGGGGACTTTCACAATGAGTGGACTGAGGCTGGAGTCAGTGCATCAAGAGCCACCACACACAGACAGATCCTGAACATGGGCTTCAAATGCTGTATTCCTCTTGTCAAGCTGCTTCTGAACAACAAACAATGTCAGAAGCAAGAAAAACAGACCTGGTCTGTTGTTCAGTGGTCCAAAGTCCTCTTTTCTGATGAGAGCAACTTTTGCATCTCATTTGGAAACCAAGGACCCAGAGTCTGGAGGAAGAATGGAGAGGCACACACTGCAATATGCTTGAAGTCCAGTGTGAAGTTTCCATAGTCTGTGTCGATTTGGGGAGCCATGTCATCTGCTGGTGTTGGTCCACTGTGCTTCATTAAGTCCAGGGTCAGCACAGCCGTCTACCAGGAAATTTTGGAGCACTTCATGCTTCCTTCCGCAGACAAGCTTTATGGGGATGTTGACTTCATTTTCCAGCAGGACCTGCCCACACTGCCAAAAGCACCAAAACCTGGTTCAATGACCGTGGGATTACTGTGCTTGATTGGCCAGCAAACTCGCCTGACCTGAACCCCATAGAGAATCTATGGGGCATTACCAAGAGAAAGATGAGAGACATGAGACCAAACAATGCAGAAGAACTGAAGGCCGCTATTGAAGCATCCTGATCTTCCATAACGCCTCAGCAGTGCCACAGGCTGACAGCTTCCATGCCCTGCCACATTAATTGCTGCAAAAGGGGCCCAGACCAAGTACTGAGTACATATGCATGCTTATACTTTTCAGAGGTCCGATATTGTTCTATGTACAATCCTTGTTTTATTGATTGCATGTGATATTCTAATTTTCTGAGATTGTGGATTTGGGGTTTTCATGAGCTGTAAGCCATAATCATCACTATTATGACACATCACGGCTTGAACCGTCTTTTCTTTGCATGTAATGAGCCTATCTCATATATTAGGTTCACCTTTTAAGTTGCATTACTGAAATAAATGAACTTTTGCACGATATTCTAATTTTCCGAGTTTCACCTGTATAGCTTTTACAGCACTTTTCTACCTCAACATCCATTGGCTAAAGTGGATTAGTTTTCTTATTCCCGTAGTAGAAACTGCTGAAGGGGAGAAAAACCCAGAAACTATCATGTAGAAGATGAATCAGAGTTGCTCCAGAAGACTGGACAAGAAACCATTGGTTTACATGACAAAGGAACAGATGTTAGGAAGGCATCTGGAATCATTTCCTAATGGCAAGAGCTGTTTAACCATGGAACTGGCTGACTTGGGAGATGGTGAACTCGCCTTCATTGGAGATGTTTAAATAAAAGTTGGGTCTTCTTCTGATTTGGATGTTAGTGGATTCTTGAACTGCTTTACAACAGTACGAATTGGTGTAAGTGTAGTTGTAGCTCAACATCTGGAAGGTGCTGAACTGGGTTGGGGAAGGCTCTGTAATTTTCTAATTCCAATCCAACTGTCGCTTCATAGCTAGTCTCCCTAGTTCATTTGCTGTTATTATAGTGTTGTGCTTATAGTATCAGTGCAGGCTGAGCTATCAAGCTTTTTGACCCTCTGTGATTCTTTGGAAATGAAGATGAAAAGAAGTAGAGAGAGAGAGAGAGAGAAAGGGAAAGACTTACTTGCTGTCTGATCTCTGAGTTGCTTTTGGTGAATCAGAGTTATCCTTTATATCCCCTAAAAAAATAGGAAGAAGTCAGGTTCAGATGTCACTTTACTAATGCATGCTAATATATTGTAGGCTCTATGTTCTGTTCTGAAAAGACTATTTAATGTGCAAAAATTAAAAACTGTTCCAGATGAGATTTTAATTGCATAATCATTTGCTGCTTGGTCAATGGGGCATAATGTCCCCGCCATAATGCATCTGCTAGGGTCCCACATGAAACTGTAGATCACATCATGACATAAGCGGAGGGCGTATCTCGGTCCAGTATTTGATTTTTTAAATATAAATGATGCTGTGCTTCAGTGGTTAGATGGCCTAGACATAATGCACTCCTGAACTAACATGATACACACTGTAGTCTTACATGCAACTGGCCTTTTGAGGGTAACCATAATGCTGATGCGGCCCTCAATGAAATTGAGTTTGACATCCCTGGCCTAGACACTATTTAAACATAGGTCTTTTTAACATTTATATTTTATTGGGTTCTACTAATTTAGTTGAAATTCTAATATGTATTGCTAGTCCATGTATGATATGCCATATGTTAAATAAATAAATGTGCTGCTTTGTTCATGGAATTTTATAGGTGGACATAATCTTCTCCTGGTGTAATCTTTCCAACTTTCCATCTTTTTTTTCTTACAGAAAGCTGGTGAGTATCATTAGCAATCTTCCGCTTAAGCTGGGCAAACCTGGTTTTATGGCAGGAAAAATACAAACTCAAATACATGTGTTTGAATATTAAATAATCTAACTTGCAAAGTGGATCTTGCACACACAAGGGAAAATTTGAAACACTCAAGAGCAACGTTCAGTATCTTGAGAATCCTAACATCTGCATTTTTGTTTTGAATGAGAATCTAGGTCCTAGGATATTGTTTTACAAATAAGAAAAGACTGCCTTAAACACAGGTTTAAGGAAGAAGAATGGACTTGTCCCATCTATGTCAGCACATGTAGTCCTCGACTTACAAACACAATTGAGCCCAACATTTCTGTTACTAAGTGAAATTATTTAAGTGAGTTTTGCCCCATTTTACAACCTTTCTTGCCACAAGTGAATCCCTGCAGTTGTTCAGTTAGTAACAGGGTGGTTAAGTAAATCTGGTTTCCCCATTGACTTTGCTTGTCAGAAGGTTGCAAAGGGGGATTACATGATCTTGGAACATAGCAATGGTCATAAGTATCAACCAGTTGCCAAGCATCTGGATTTTGATCACATGACCATGGGGATGATACAAAGATTGTAACTGAAAAATGGTCAGGTCACTTTTTTTAGTTAAATGAACCGTTGTAAGTTGGGAACCACCTGTATTATTATTAAGGAGCCTCTGTGGCGCAGTGGTTATGAGTGCAGGACTGCAAGCTACTTCTGCAGCCAGCTGCCTACAATTTGGCAGTTCAAATCCCACCAGGCTCAAGGTTGACTCAGCCTTCCATCCTTCCGAGGTGGGTCAAATGAGGGCCCAAATTGTTGGGAGCAATATGCTGACTGTAAACTGCTTAGAGAAGGCTGTAAAGCACTAAAGTGGTATAAGTCTAAGTGCTATTGCTATTATACCATAGAGTGATAAGAGAACCACGTTTTCCACACAGAGGTTCCATCTTTCATTCTCAGTTAATGAATCAACTCAACAGAGGGAAAAAAAATGCGGCCTTGGCTAGATGGATCAAAAAGATGACCCAGAATAAAGAAAATTCTTATTTTTTTCACAAACAGGCAAGCATGGCAAACATCTTCACAGGCTTGTGGGTTCTTTGCAAGTTTTTGTTTCAAAGGGAATCTTTTGGAATAGTCAAGGGCAACCTCTGGCCCACGGCCCTAGTCATTGGATGAATGCCTATTTCAGTGAAGTAATTTTGTTGTGGGTGTTTCAAGTTTTGGGGATTGATGGTTTTCCCATCTGTTATTCGAATGTGGCCGCAGGCAAAATGCAGACTTCCACTCCCCAGAGCATTCACATCAGTGTTTTACATATTCCCAGACTCTGTGGGGTAAAGTTAATAGCTAAGTCTAAATGTGAACATCTAGGTAGTCCTCGAGTTATGGCAGCAATGGAGCCTACTCATCACGGTCGTAACTCAGGATGGTCATAAAGCAAGTTGGTCACGTGACTGACCCTGTTTCACAACCTTTTTTTTGTGGTGGGTTATTAAGCAAATGGAGTGGTCACTAAGCAAACCGATGGTTTGCCATTGGTGCAGCTTTGCCCCACAGAAATTGGAATGAAATGCCAGTTTTCGGCAAAACGGTTGTAAAATGTGGTTATGTGATTGCAGAATGCCGCAAACAGCCATAAATGTGGTCCAGTTGTCAAGTACCCACAGTGCAGTCATGTGACCCAGGGAGAAGGGTTGAAAGTTGGAATTTCGAACTATAAGTAGGTCCATCAGACCTTCAAACAGTTGCTAAGTAACCCCCCCACACACACACACACACTCATCAGATGTCACTCACCTGGTCTTTTCTCAGGCTCTTCTGCACTTTCAGCAGAGTTCTTGAAGCGGCTGTAGGACCACTTTTTAGCTATCAGGCTGTCCTTTTCAGAGCTCCCCCTGGAGGAAGGGAGGGGAAAAACAAGCAGGGGGTGGAGATGATGAGGCAGCAGCAAGCAATGGGTGAGACAGGAGCATCAAGCCAAAATGCAACAGGGCAAAGGATGTGCTATAGAGGTAAAGACACATGAAATGGAACCAAGACAGGGGACCACGGTTTCCTTTGCTCAGGAAGGACATTTACAGTATTTTTATACCTCTCATCAGCACATCTAAAAACTTCATCCATAAAAAAATGAAACACTGTCCTAGTATCTGTCCATCTAAAAAATACAATTCATGAAAACCTAACGTATATTATGCTAGTCTTGAAAAAGAAGTGAAAATATCTACCATTAGCAAAGCAGATGGGGGACATGTCTGAGCAGAAGACAGTAGAGAGAGAATCTCAAGGGTCTGGGGAGACTCCTGTCCTTTTAAGGCTGTAACTGCTGGAACCTACCATCATTTTTTGGGCCACCACACCATGCAAAGTTAAGAGAGAGGGGTCCTTGGTGCTCTCTGAGCTTGTTTTCTTGCAGAGAACATCACCAGTGCTAGTTAGGGTAATGAAACACCTGCAAGAAAACCATCAAGCTCAGAGAGCACGAAGGATCCCTCATTTCAACTACAAATATTCTCCTTTAAGGTTGAGTCATTGAGGAAGACCCTGGTTCTTTGGAAAATCAAAAGTGATTGGAAAAGAGACTGACAGCAGACAAGGTGTGAGATAACTCTCACCGACGACAAAGCATCAGCCAACAAGAACCCTACGAAGCAGTTCTAGCAGACAATATTGGCAAAAGGATATCACAAAGGAGGAGGAGTGAGTGACTGAGCATCATCGGGCTTCACATCGGATGGTCAGCCCAGCCTGATACTATTGTAGACTTCTGTTAACCCAATGCAGGCAGTCTTTGCTTGCTGAAAGCAACTAGGATCAGGAACACCGTCGCTAAGCAAGCAGTTGTTGACTGCACCAACGTATGATGGCAGTTCCACCGCTCTCACTTGCCACTCTTAAGGCAAACCTTTAACGGCATCCCAGGGTCACACGATCATCATTGGCAACCTCCCATTGGCTTCCCCACTGTCTTTGCTTGTTGGGGAAGCTGGCCATGAAGGTTGCAAACAGTGACCATGTCACTATGAGATGTAACTGGTTGCTAAGTGCCTAAACTGTGATCATGGGACTGTGGGGATGCTGTAAGAGCCACAACTATGAGGACCCATCGTAAATTTCTCTCATTCAGCACTGGCATAACTTACAAAGATCACTGAAGGAGTGGATGTTAAATGGGGACTCTTAAGAATCTTAAGAGGCCCAACAGGTGTTCTGCCTGCAGCAAGCTACAAATCAGCTGATTAGCTGGAAGCTCTCTGGTGTTTTATGGGATTACAACTATATATATATCAGTGGTCCCCAAACTTGGCAACTTTAAGACTTGTGGACTTCAATTATGCTGGCTGAGAAATTCTAGGAATTGAAGTCCACAAGTCTTAAGGTTGCCAAGTTTGGGGACTTCTAATATATATAGTATAGGTTTGGGGTTTTTTTTTTTTTTGCTTTTTCACTTGTAAAAGTGAGGAGGAAACTGTCATGAATATGCACAAAGGTTATTAACTCTCTCTCTTATCTACACAGATATGCCCCTTAATGTCCACCCCCAACCCTCAGGTGGCTTTGTCTGCAGTGCTTACAGCAAAAAATAAAATAAAAATAAAGGAAAAAAGCCTAATTCTGCTCCACAGGTTTAATCCATGGCACCTTCAGTCCAAGCATTGGGGAAGCGAACTCTACTAATGTTGACTACAATGACTGGAAGGGAATGGTAATCCAGTTCAGTGGAAGGAGAAAGCTGGAATATCTAAGTAATGAAATGGACTATAACATGGGTGTCAAACTCGCTGGATCATGTTGCTGTCATGTGTCACATCCGGCCTGTGGGCTGCCAGTTTTGACACCCCTGGGCTATAAGATCTCAGGATTCATTAGCATGTACTTCCCTTCTATATTCTGCATCTCCCATACATAACAATCTGTTTTTACCAGTACAGCAGATTATAAAGTAGCATTTTATAAATTAAATGCTCCTGCTTACAAAAATGCATATTGCATATGTCTGCTTGCAGTACAAACAATTCCTGAGGTATTATTTTTTCCCTACCCCAAATTGCCTTGCCGTGGAGAAAGAATACAAGATATCAGGAGATAAATTCAAGTCACGTCTTTAATTAATTTTTCCCCATCTTATTTTTCCCTTTCATATTATCTCTCTTCAATCATCCTGAGCGAATCATCAAGATGTCTAATAAGTGATTAGAACATCTGTGACAGTCTTTGTAGAGCAGCTGTTTGTGGTTTTTGGCTCAACGAGCGCTGTGGCAGTGGTTAAAGTGCAATATTGTAGGCAAACTCTTCCCACAGCCTGGAGTTTGATCCTGACAGGGCTCAAGGTTGGCTTAGCTTTCCATCTGTCCGAGGTTGGTAAAATGAGGGCCCAGATTGTTGAGGGCAATATGCAGACAATGCTGACATTGTAAACCTCACACAGAGGATTGTAAAGTGCTATGGGGCAGGAGCAGTATAAATGCTATTGACATTGAAATATCTGTAGCTCTGGTGTAGGATGAGGTGAGGGTTTGTCCTCCAAGCTTGTGGGTTGGTTTCCGTTTAGTTACCAGGCTAAGTAACATCTGCAGTGGAGATTAGGGGATGCCCCTTTAGGGGAAGCTATTGGCAATGCTAGCGATTTCTTGAGTTTGAAACTTCCTATAGAATCCCAAGAGATCTCCATCTGTGTTTGTCCTTCTGTGACTCTGCAACAAGTGTTACACAAAAGACCACCCCAAGAGGGCGCATTTTATAAGAATGGAGCAAACCCACAAAGGTTGCTAATGGCCACAGAACAATATAAAACTTCTACTGGTCCATGTTCTCCAACTCTTCAGTGGGCCCATTCATGTGTTGGAGAAGTGGGCCACGGAAGCATGGCCACAGTTTTTCCAGAAGCTAGTGACCAAAAGACAAAAACACACATTGTAATGTTTAAAAAATCCAAACTTTATTATTGTTGAAATGTAAACAAAAGTTCATTATTTGATCACGCCACACACTAAACAGCCAAAGGCAAGTCAGGATCTTGGCTGTTTTGATCAGAAGGGATGGGGAACGAGAAGGTAGAACAGGGAACTGCTGGAAAACTGCCAGACCAAGAAAAAAAAGGGAAAAGGGGGGAAGGGACAGAATAAGTGAGAGAGAGAAAGAGTCCTCCACAAATGAAACAGAGTTGACATCTACTGCAGCCTTCCCACCTAGGGAATCATGGGAACTGGGTTAACACCTTTGGAGGTGTCGGGGAAGTCCAGCCTATGGTGTTCTACAAAGAACCTTCAGTAAAGTCTGTCACTGGGTTGAGGATAGCAGACACAACTCTGGCTGCCAATCTGACCTCCTTCGATGTTGACTTCCAAATTTCTTCCAACGGGAAAATGGAAGACAGGAGAAATGCAAGACTGGATCAAACAGGTTTGTTGGGGGGCCCAGGTGGATGCTTTGAAAAATGGGGAAACCAGCATGGTTCCAACTGATAGCATAGCGGTGTTCTCTTTGTGCTTTGTTCTCAGCACCAAGTCTTCTGACTTTGAGTATCATACCCTGCTCCCTGACAGACTAGTTCTCCGGATTTCTAGTATAGATCAGGGGTGTCAAAATCGTGGCGTCACGTTGTCGTCACGTGAAGTATCGCGACTTTTGCCCCCTTTGCTAAACCGGGGGGAAGGCGTGGCCAGCGTGTGATGCATCCGGCCCGCAGGCTGGGAGTTTGACAGGCCTGGTATACATGGTGAAGCTCAGCATCACTCAGGTGCCTGATGTCAAGAGAAAATGGTGATCAACTCAAAAGGAGGGGAAGAGGAGGAGGCATTTGGCTTCAGATTAATCATTCAGAGCCCCCGGGATTTTGTTAAATGAGTAGTGAGAGCAAATATATTGGCATCGGGGTAAAAACAGGCCTAAAAATGATCACTGGTAAAAAAAAATCTCAAAAGATACAAGAACAAATTAGTACTGCTCAAAGGCAAGAAGGATTTTTTAGTATCCTGATTTTCAAATCAGAATGACCTTTTTAGCCCAACCTTTCCTCAAGCTGCTTGGAAAGATCCCAGAGCATAGATCTCCCCGTTCATTTCATCTTTGCAGGATGAGGAAATCTGGCTAATGGAGAAATAATCTGATCCAGGTCATCCAACAGGCATCATAACAATGGGGATTCAGCCTAAGAAGACTCGTCCCATCCTATTACCAGTATTTTTTCCCCAATATTAAAAACTGGTTCCATAATGAAGCTTTTCTCAAACCAGTTCCCTCCAGATGATGGCCTTTAGTTCCTCAGAATCTCAAGGCAACACAGCCATTCTCACAATCTTAACACATCTGGATGGCACCAGGTTGTGGACATGCAGATGTGTTAGAATAGATGGTGCCTAGTTGTTCTTCCATTTGACACCCTCTGGCCTTAGACTACAATGGCCACTGCAGTAATCCTAGCTGGCACAGCAAACACATCTGCAGAGTTACACAACTGGACAGAATAAGGAGGGTTAGTACAAGTACCAACCACACTAAGAAAGCTAACCAATTGTGTATTTGTTGGACCAATTTTTCCTCCCCTGGCACAGTATTTGAATGAACTTGGCACATATTTGCTTCCCCGCTTTCCTTTCCTCATAACAAATAGAACATTTGATTATAACAATTCTTTGTTTTCCTCACCTGACTCCTAACAGCTTCCTCTTGACACTATTTTACCAATTCTCCCTTCCGTGCTTACAAATCTGGACTCTTAATCTCAGCTCCTAATTTTTTCATTTCCTTCTCCAAATTCCCAAAATCTCTTTCAGTTCAGATCTGAAAATGAAGCTCAGAGCTCCAGCTTCTCCTGCTTCTGAGGAGCATGGCAACTGTTTTGGGTTGAAAACATCAAACACATTTTTTTTGACCTACTAAGCAAACACCTCAA